TGGGTTAATCCTCAGCACCATGTAAAAATAAATAAAGGTATTGTGTCCATGTACAACTAAAAATATATTTTTTTAAAAAAAGTGTTTAGGGTGTATTTTGTTTACTTCTGCGGGCATATAAATGGTCCAAAGGGAAACTTCTAAGGTTGAACATATTCTATATCATGAATGGGGAAGTGTTTTCCTAAGTATTTGTGTACATTTTACATCTAGGATTCGTACAATTTAACAGATGTGTCTTATATCTCAATAGAAAATAATGTAGATGTATTCATATTTCAGATCTGGCCACTGAAAATACTTCACAGTAATTACCAATTTGGTATCATTGTGCATACTTAGCATCCAGATTATGGTTTTTAAATATTGTTTTCCACAGAAAGAAACCAGAGCTTCTTGAAGAAATGGTGATTCTAGGTTGGAGGCTTATGTATGAGATGTTAGGACACCAAGTAAACTGAAAGTATTGTGTCAGAGTACTCAGGATTCAAATCAAAGAAATTCCCACTGGCCAAAATGGTCATTTTGATAAAAAATAAAATATTTAAATTGCTTTTACTACCCAGGGGCACTTTGCTACTGAACTACGTCCCCAGTTCCTCATTCCCCACTTTTTAATTTTGAGACGGGGGTCTTGCTGAATTGCCCAAGCTATCCTCCAGCTTGAGATCCTCCTGCTTCAGCCTCACAAATTGCTAGGATTACAGGTGTGCTCTATTGCATCCAATTGATATTATTTCTCTTATTGAGGTTCTCCAGCTAATAAATACAAAAAGAATGAACAGAATGTCACCTTTTTAATGTCCTCAGAGAGTAAATAAATCTACGCCTTGAGCTTCAATGCTTCCTGTCATTAAAGAAGAAATAACCAAACATGTCCCTCCTGATGAAAAGTATGTCATTTATAAAGAAGTCTTTTTCAAACATATAAGTCAAATCTGAAACTCATCAGTATTATCCAATTATCAATTTACAGGAAATCCAAAGGCCAGAGGAATGTTATGCCACAAGAGTACAGGGTACAATCAGTAAAATCCAGACTCTCAGAAACTACAATACTAATGATCTTGTTTCTTTATCAAAAGCACAAACTCACTCTTGTAACTAATAAGCAATTATAGCAAAGTTATAGGACACAAAATTATGCACAAGTATATACTTTCCTATATTACCAATAGTAGATTACTGGAATTTAAAATTTCAAAGTTATTTATATGACCATCCAGAGTGAAATACCTAAGTACAACTGTTAGCAAAATTTTATAAGATCTATGAGGAAAACCACAAAACTCTAATAAATCAATGATACCAGTAAAAATAAATTCAACCAATGAAATCAAATGGAGAGGTATTACATTTTCATGGATAGGAAGATTCAATATTGTTAAAATGTTAATTTTTCTCAAGATGGTCTATAGATTCACCACAGTCCCAGTCAAAATACTACCAAGTTATTTTGTGAATACTGACAGACTGATTCCAGAGTTAATGTGGAAAAGGAAAAGACCCAGAAAAGCCACTGCAATACTGAAAGAAAGCAAAGGAAGCTTTACTTAAAGCTAATTGACTTTAAGACTTGATAGTAGCTACAGTAAATCAAGGAGTGGCATTGTTACAAGAATAGACAAATGGATCATTGATACAGAATAGAGAGTAAAAAATGAGTCACAAAATATATCCAACTTATCTTTGACAAAGGAGCAAAATGAATTCAATGGAGAAATGTTTTTTTAACAAATGGTGTTAGAACAATTGGGCATCTATATGCAAAAAAAAAAAAAAAAAGAGAAAAAGAAAAGAAAAACTCCATGTAGACAAACCTTGTACTTTTCATAAAATCCAACTCAAAATGTTGTGGGTTATCTAAAAGTAAAGTAAAACTGCTAGAAGAAAACATAGGACATAGTCTAAGTGACCTTGGATTTGGCAGTGAGTTTTTAGATACAACATCAAAAACTCAGCTCATGAAAAAAAATATAAGTTGAACTTTGTTAACATTAAAAGCCTCTTAGGCTGGGTCGAGTGGCACATACTTGTAATCCCAGCAACTCGGGAGGCTGAGGCTAGTTTGAGGCCAGCCTTAGGAACTTATTGAGGTTTTAAGCAACTGAGACCCTGTCTCAAAAAGTAAATAAGAAAAAGGGCTGGGGTTGTGGCTTAGTTGAAAGCACCTCTGGGTTGAATCCCCATTGCCTAAACAACAAACCAAAACCTCTCATACAAAGACATTGTCAAGAGAATGAAAGGGTAAACCACAGACAGGAAGAAAATATTTACCAAACCTATTTAATTAAGAACTGGTGTCCAGCATATATAAAGAATTCTTAAACAACAGACACTAGTATGGCAATTTGTAAATCAATGGATGTGTAACTGATGTGAATCTGCAATCTGTGTATGGGGTGAAGGTGGGAGTTCATAACCCACTTGAATCAAAGTGTGGAATATGATATGTCAAGAAATTTGTAATGTTTTGAACAACCCACAATAAAAAATTAAAAAAAAAAAAAAGAATTCTTAAAATTTGTAGTAAGAAAACAACCCAATTTTTTAAATGGGCAAAATATCTAAATAGATGTCTGACCAAAGAAGATATAAAGATGGGCTGGGGTTGTGGCCCAGAGGTAGAGTGCTTGCCTGGCATGCATGAGACACTGGGTTCGATCCTCAGCGCCACATAAAAGTAAAATAAAGATATTGTGTCCACCTATAACTAAAAAATAAATATCAAAAAAGTTATATTAATTAAAATAGGACTTTACTAATGCAAAGATAAGCTTGTGGAACAGAATATGAAGCCCATGGGTGCTATGGCAATGCTTGCCTCGTGAAGACATGATTATTACATTTGAGTAGGAAGCAATTTCCATGAAAAAGGTGTTTTAGAGGGGCCAGAATTGTTTCCTATTCCTTTAGCTGTTTATATTACTAGTATCCCTGGCTTTGTAATTCAGAGCATTACATTTGTTCATCAAAATATGAGTCTGGAATTGGCTTAGTCTGCATTTTGGCATTTTGAGTTTCATCATGCCTATTTGTATAAATTCAGTTGCTTTCAGCTTAAAGGTATACGTGGGGGGGGGGCGATAATATAAATACTTCAGGCAATGTACATTTTCATTCAGTAACCATAACACCAAGTAGTAAACATGAGATGAGAAATATGAATTTCTGTTCCACTTCTTAGTTCCTGTGTGTCTCCAGGCTCACTTAATGAAAACTATTTTATTGGGTCATCACATTTGAAGAAATAGCATCTAGCCGAATCCTGGGGTTAAAATAAAATAAAATCCTGGGGGTTAAACTTTCCAAAATCATGGATTTGGACCCTGTAGCCAGCCAAACCACTTGAGTTCAAATCCTAGCTCCACCCTGTCTTGTGTGGCTTGGTCAGATAATTTAATCTCTTTGGGCTCTGTGTCCTTATCTGTAAAATGAAGATTATAGTAATATACACCTTGTAACATTTTGTCAAGTAATGACTAAGATAACTATGGATGGCACATAATGCAAAAACAATTTTAACTATTATTATTACCAAAAATTGGTAGTCCTCCAAGGTGGTACAATTTTAATTAATTTCTAGGGAAACTCGGCCAACTCCTTTTCCACTTTCATCTTATTCTTTAGAATCCAACCTGTCATGAAATGTGGTTTTACTGTACCTGACTAGTATCTATGTCTGGTGGTTAGTTTTTTAGGGGATTGACAGTTGTGGCTGCTTGTGGAATGGTCATATGACATGGAAGATGGCTTTTGGGGGTAGGAGAGCCTGTGGACTGGACAGGATATATTCCCATAGAGTCAATGAATGATTGTAGATACCTGGAATACATTTAATATAAATATTTAAGTACATGTATTTTAGTCACCAGAATTTTCTTCTGTACAGAAATCCACTAATCTTTCGAGGTTAATACAGCCCTTTTTATGCCTCTGTCTCTTACTTTTTACTAAAGCCTTTATTGTAGAATGACATCTGTGCAGTCTCTAGTCCCATGTGCTGCTTGTGGGTGCATCTTGTAGCAAACAGTGCTTTGGCATTTCAGGGTTTTGCTATCCATCCCTGAGTCCATAAACTTTTTAATTCACCACTGATTTTTCCTTTGAAAAATATTTAGGAACCTTATAGTTGGCCTTTTGCCATCTCATCTCTCTCCCCCTTCCACACACATGGCATAGACTCTTACTTACCTTTCACGACTACCAAAATCGAGGCACAGAATTGGCCCCACTGTGTTTCCAGCAGGCACTTGGTGGCACCTCAGTGCATATACTATTTGTCCACTCAGCAGCTCCTCTCTACTGCCAGAATGTAGGACCTCACTCAGGCCCCTGCACACTGGCAGCTACTGCTTCCTCTAAGAGGCTTTACAGAAGTCAGCCTGGTTTTTGTTTGCTTCTCTTTTTTCCCCCTTCCCTGTGGCTTCTTGACTTTTGCTCAGGAAAACTGGTCACTTATAGACTGTTTGAACTAATGAGCGCCATCTTTCTGCCAAATGATGAACAAATACATCAAACCAAATGGGTTTTATCATTTAGCTTTTGGGAGCCATGTTATTTGAGGCTCAAACATCTGAGCCTGTTTGGTGCACCTACCACCTAAAGAGGGGTTTGTGCTGTGTGTCAGGGACATTAGAATTAGAAGGATTTAGTTATCACCAGGTTCGCTTCCTGGGAAATGAGCAAGCTGGCTTTTGAATAGAACTAGTTAGGGTCTACTTTCTCATGTTCATTTCTGAGAACAAGGGAAATAAACGTTTAATGAATTCTGTTTTAAGAGAATTTGTATAGGTGTCTGAAGCAGCTTATGAGCATGTAATCATTTAATATTTCACAGTAGGGATGCAAAATTGTTGTGTACTTGTGTGTTTCAAATTGAAGAATCTTGAAAAATGTACATATCCAGAAAATGCATTAAATTTTATTTTTCACAGTATAATTATCCTACAATGTTAACACTATCTCATTTTGTGTTTTTTTTTTCTTTTTTTTTCCAGAATATTTTCCTTCTTGGACATAGTAACTTTGTGCCGATGTGCACAGATTTCCAAGGTAGAGTGTTCACTAGATTTTTAATCAATAAATATCAGGTTTTATTAGTCTAAAGATGAATTTTAGTTCAAATAAACCATTAAATTAAAATTTATCTCATATTTAATATAATCATAATTTAATATTTGTTTTATTAACTTGATACATTGAAAATTAAAGTTTGGAAATAGAAAGTTTGCGTCAAGACCCTCTTTAATTTATTTCTCAGTAAATGAATCTTTCACCCCCATCCCTCTTCTTTTACTACCTACCTCCCAGGCTTGGAACATCTTAGCCCTGGATGGAAGCAACTGGCAAAGAATAGATCTTTTTAACTTTCAAACAGATGTAGAGGTAAGTTAGTTAACTTTGGTTTAGACAGAAGACTTTTTAAAAGATAAACAGTTTCCTCTTTTCTGTTTTTTTATTTTGCAGCATTTAGAAGAGAGAGACAGAAAAACAAAACTTGGAAGATATGTGCATACATGAAGACCAAAATTCCACTGTGTTTTACTTTTGTTCTTTATCAGTAACAGATTGCTTTTCCCCCTGAATCATGTTTATAATCTATTACTCTCAGCTTTTTAAAGCATCACACCTGCATCCTTAACACCTGGTTTAGTGCTTTAACCTTAGGAAGCTTCATCTGAAAGATTTACTGGGAATAGTAATTCAGCATTAAGAATGGAGAAAGGGCAGGAACAAAAGCCAGAGAGTGAGGCTGACTTCTGAAGTGTCCCATCAGCTCTGGCACTTAGCCATACAATCTCAGTGCCTCTGTTTTATTATCTGTAAGATAAATAAGTAAAGTAATTTTAAAGCCTTTTGTAATGCCAGGGTGGGGTATGGCTCAGTGGTAGAGTACTTGCCTAACACTAGGCCCTAGGTGTAGGCCCCAGCACTGGCTGGGGGCTGGGGGAATGTGTGTGTGTATAGTATACATATATACATACACTGAATATATTAAGTGTGTGTGTAATATACATATATAAATATAAGTAAAATTCCAGATTCTACATATTTATGTGGAAATCCAAAAAAAAAAAAATCTCTATTTAAGGGTAGTAAACCTGATTACATGAGGAAATCATTTTAAAGTAATTTAATTTAAAATATCAAATTTCTAACCAAATAGTAAGGGAGTGGAGTAATAAAGAGCATTGCACAAAGTAATTGTCTTGGGTGCTGGTCTGAGAGTCTTAGGATACTTAAGTTTATTGTCTACTTAATGTTAGTAAAACCTTACTTATTTCCATTTTAAACAATTCAGTAACAAGAGTGGAATTGCATCTTAAATCACTTCACTCATGTTAAAGGTTCTCAGAGTGTCTTACCAAGGTGTTTGTGCTTTGATGGGTAAGAAAATGATTATGTTTAACAATGAAGCAATTTCCTGCTAGTTACTTAACTTGTTGGAAGAGCTTATGGCCAATTATAGGCCCTTTTACTCCTCCCCCATACCTTCTCTTCCCCTCCCCGACTCCCAGAACTGGGGAATGAGCCAAGGGTGCTCTGTCACTGAGCTGCATCTCCTGTCCTTTATTTCAGACAGAGTCTCAGTTAAGTTTTTCAGTCTGGCCTTCAATCTATGATTCTCCTACCTTACCTCCTGAGTCACTGGGATTACAGGCTTGTGCCACTGTGGCTGGCTCCTTTCTCCTTCTCTAGGTTACTTGCTGTTTGACAGTCTTTGGCTCCCATTTTAAACCAGTGGAGCAGTAACCTCAGCACATGGGGCAGAACACAGGGTTTTTCACAGTTGGTTTTAGAACCCCATGGTTCCTCACATATTATCATGCTCTGAGCTTGGAAAGGGGCAGGAACCTCAGGGATTCATGTCCATCTGGAAAAAAGTTCTAGTTACTAGTTTAGAATGTGGTCCTTAAATTAAGTGTTCATTAATGTTCTTTCCAGACGTAATAGAAATTATCACAAGTGCCCAACCCAAATTTGCCAGTATTCCATACCAGCCAGTGTAATTCCTCTTCATATTGATAATCTCTAAATCTTTGTTCATTGTGTTTACTTAGTGGTGTTGAAAAGAATGTAAATTCTCAAAATGTCATTTTTTGCTGGTCATGAGAGTCATTGTTGGGCTGGGATTGTGGCTCAGTGGTGAGGTGCTTGCCTAGCATGTGTGAGGCTTAGGGTTTGATTCTCAGCACCGCATATACATAAATAAATATCCATTGACAACTAAAAAAAATATTTTAAAAAAAGAATTTTTTTGAAAGAATTTGGCAAAGTATTTTTCTGTAGTGCTTAGTATCTCCTCAGTTTAGATGATTTTTCCCAAACTATACAACTTTTTGGAAAGCACACTAAGAACTTTTAAATTTAGATATTATGAAATACAGTTTCAATTAAATATTACTACCTTGATTGAAGAATTTTAGCTGACTTCTGATTTTCATCATGGAAATACTTAAGAATGTGTGCAGTAAAGGGGAGACAGGTTTATGGTTTGCTAGTTGTGTTAACAATTACATGTGAAAATCTGAAATAGCTGGCATCAGGGTTTCAGTCTAGTTTCATATCATTAGTTTCCCTTTGGGGCTGGCATCTTAAATCCAAGTTGAATTATGAACCAAGACTATGATCTTCTCATAGTCTTTAAACATCTGTATACTCAGCCTAGGAAGCATTCTATGAATAAAGAGATGGTCTCAAAGATGTGTCCTTATGGGTAAGTTGAGGAAGAAGGAAAATGCCAAGGATCAGCATGAACTCATTAATACTCCTTACTGTGAGCTAGGCACTGTTCTAAGAACTTTACATATCCTACTATATTTGATCCTCTTAAAAACACCATATTGAAGAAACTGAGGCATAGAAAAGTAGAGTAACTTACTAAGGTCACTCACCTATTAAAGAATGTAGGAATTGTCAAACAAAGACTGTGTCCCAAAAAGGACCACATATAAGAGTGGAAGGTAAATCCATCCCAAACAAATGTATAAACTCAACATAGGAATATAAGAAATATGAAAAAAGGTAACATGACACTTCCTAAATATCATAATTCATCAATAGCTGACTCCAAAGACTTTGGATGAAGAATAAAAAAAAAAAAAAAAAAGCATTGTAGAAATGGTCTGTGAATTCCAAGAGAACACAGAAAAACAACTGAATAAATTCAAGAAGTCAGTACAGGATATGAAATAAGAAATTCAATAAGGAGATAGAAATATTGACAAAGAACTAAACAGAAATCTCAGAAATGAAAGACACAATACATCAAATAAAATGTTCAGTTTAAAGTCTCTGTTACAGAGTACACTAAGGTAAAGGCAGAATCTCAGAGCTATAATGAAGTGGCCAGCCTTGAACATTCAGGCAATAATAAAAGAAAATAAGTAACCATGACCAGAATATAAAGGAACTCTGGGACAACATTAAGAAGCCAAATTTTAGCCAGGCATGGAGGCACATACCTGTAATTCCAGTGGTTCTGGAGGTTGAGGCAGGAGGATTGGGGGTTCAAAGCCAGTCAGCAATTTAGCAAGACCCTAAGTAACTTATCAAGACCCTGTCTCTAAATAAAATATAAAAAGGACTGGGGGTGTGGCTCAGTAGTTAAGTGACCCTGGGTTCAATCCCCAGTACCAAAAACAAAAACTAAAAACAAATTTTAAGAATTATAAGAAAGGAAGAGAGAATTGTGAGCTGCAGGTTAATGGCATGGATAACCTCTTCAGGACAATAAGAACATTTTTAAATCTTCAAGAGAAAAACATGGGCTGGGGTTGTGGCTCAGTGGCAGAGCGCTTGCCTTGCACATGTGAGGCACTGCTTTTGATCCTCAGCACCACATAAAAATGAATAAACAAGATACTGCATCCATCTATAACTAAAAAATATTTTTTAAAAAAGAAAAACATCAGTTTGCATTTAGAGGCAAGCCAATCAGAATTAGTTTTGATTTCTCAACACAAACTCTAAGAATCAAGGAGAACATGGAATGATGTATTCTAGGCCCTGAAAGATAAGTATACCCAGCAAAGCTATCATTCAGATCAAAGTCAAAATAAAAACCTTCCCAGATTAAGCAGAAACTAAAATAGTTCATGACTACTAAGCCAATTACAGAAAACACTTAAATATTACACACAGAAGAAATTAAAAAATCAAACCAAGAGTTCACAAATTGACAAATCTCACGTGAAAAAAAAATAAGCAAATGAGATACAAGACCAAATTAAACATTATAAATAAATCAAAATGGCAAAGCATAATAAACATCTCCCTATAACAACAATGAATGTAAATGGTCTCAACTCTCCAATTAAAAGATATGGGCTGGCAGAATGGATTAGAAAGCAAGGTTTAACTATATGTTGTTTGTAGGAGACTCATCTCACAGGCAAAGACAGCCATAGGCTAAAGGTGAATTGATATACAATGCAAATAGAGCCTGAGAACAAGCAGGAGCAGCTACTCTCATATCCAACAAAGAAAACTTCAAGCCACAATTAATCAGAAAAGATAAAGATGGTCACTTAGTATGGTAAAGGAAACAATCCAATAAGAAGATAAAATAATAATAAATATTTATTCCCTAATATTTGGTGTACCTAAGTGTATAAACAGATACTACTCAAACACTCACATAGACTCCAGTCCAATGATACTGGGTGATTTCAACACACCTCTCTCACCAATAGGTCATCCAGACATAAACTCAGTCAAGACTCTTCACAGAACTAAAAAATATTATAAATCAAATGGAATTAACAGACATCTATAGAATATTTCACCCAACAATAGCTGAATTCACTTTCTTCTCAGGTATTCATGGAAACTTCTTTAAACTAGACCACATTTTTAAGCCACAAAGCAACTTAGCAACTACAAAAAAAAAAAAATGACATAATTCCTTGTATCTTATCATAATGGAACAAAATTAGAAATCAATGCCCAAAAAAAACCTGCAGAAACTATGAACATATGAAGATTGACTAATACACTTTTGAATGATGAATGGGTTATAGAAGAAGTCGGGAGAAATTTTAAAAATTCTTAGAATCAAAGGAGACTAGTGATACAATATACTGTAACTTCTGAGACACTACGAATGCATTTCTAAGAGGAAAGTTTATAGCTATGAGTGCTTACATAAGAAAATCAGCAAGATTCCAAATAATCAACCTAATGATACATCTAAGGCCCTTGAAAAACAAGAACAAACCAATTCCAAAACCAGTAGAAGGAAAGAAATAATTAAGATTGGAGCCAAAATCATTGGAATAGAGAATAAAAAACAATACAAGGAATAATGAAATGAAGATTTGGTTTGATGAAAAGACAAAGAAGATTGATAAACTTTAGCCAAAGTAACCAAAAGAAAAAGAAGACCCAAATCAATAAAATCAGAGATAAAAATGGAAAAATCACCACAGACATTGCAGAAATCCAGAGGATCAGTGGGGATTATTTTGAAAACTTACATTCCAATACATTAGAAAACAGAAGAGATGTATATATTTCTAGACACATGTGACCTCCCAAAATTAAATTAAGAGGACAAAGAAAACTTAGAGACCAATAACTAGCAGTAAGCTAGAAGCAATAATAAAAAGCCTTCCAACAAAGAAAGGCCCCAAACCAAATGGATTCTTAGCTGAATTCTACATACTTTTAAAGAATAACTTGATACCAATGTTCCTCAAGTTAATCCATGAAACAGGATGAATTTAAGGAACCAGTATCACCCTCATACCAAACCGGATGACATATCAAAGAAAGAAAAGTACAAACCATAACCCTGATGAACTTACATGCAAAAGTCCTTAATAAAATATTAGCAAATCATATTCAGAAATATTACTATTATATTATACATCATAACCAAATTAGTTTTATTCCAGGGTTGCAAGGATGGTTTAACATAGGCAAATTGTAATTCACCACATAAATAGAATTACAGATAAAAGTCATACGGTCATCTCAATAGATGCAGATAAAACCTTCAACAAAATTCAGCACACATTTTTTGATAAAGTAACTGAAGAAATTAGGGATAGAAGGAACTTTCCTTAGTATCATGAAGGCTTGCATATGACAAACTCAAAACCAACATCATGGGAAAAACTAAAAGCATTTCTTTAAAAAAAATTTCTTTAAAAACTAGACAAGGATGTCCATTCTCCCCGACTCTTATTTAATATAGTAGTAGAAATTCTAGCCAGAGCAATTAGGCAAAAGGAGGAGATAAAAGAGACATGTCCTATGGATAAAAGAGATTAAAAGTAGGAAAGGAAGAAGTCAAATTACACTGTTTGCAGATGATATGATCCTATAATTAGGTGATCCAAAAACTTCCACCAGAAGACTACTAGTTAATAAACAAATTCAGCAAAGTAGCAAATTATAAAAATCAATTTACAAAAATCAATAGCTTTCTTGAATATACCAATAATGAATCTGTTGAGAAAGCAGGGATGGAATAGGGACAGTAGAATGAATCTGAACAACTTTCCTATGTACATATATGAATATACCCCAGTGAATCTCACCATCATGTACATCCACAAGACTATAAAAAGCTATAAGCAGTGGAAAGAATAGTAGAGTAGGGGGAAGGGAAAAGGAAGAGGGAGGAAGGAAGAGAAAGGGTAAGTACTAGGGACTGAATTAGAACAAATTTTATTCCATACTTTTATAATTATGTCAAAATGAATTCTAATGTTATATGTGACCAAAGAACCAATTTTCAAAAACCAAAACAAAACAGGAAAACAATCCCACTCAGAATAGCCTCAAAAAAGTGAAATACTTGGGAATAAATCTAACCAAGATGGTGCAAAACCTCTACAATGAAAACTTTAGAATACAGAAAGAAAGAAAGAAGACCTCAGAATTCTTTGGATTAGACAGAGGGGAGTGAAAGGAGGGAAGGGGGCATGGGAGTAGAAATAGTAGAATCAATTGGACATTATTACCCTATGTACATATATGATTACAGTACCTATATAACTCTACATCATGTACAGCCAGAAAAATGAGAAGTTATACTCCATTTATATATGATGTGTCAAAATGCATTCTACTGTCATGTATAACTAAAAAGAACAAATAAAAAAATTTTTTAAAAGACCTTAGAAAATGGAAAGACAGCCCATATTCATACATAGGCAGAATTAATATAGTTAAAATGGTCATATTACCAAAAGCAATTCAGTGTAATATCCCCATCAAAATACCAATGATATTTTTCAGAGAACTAGAAAAAGCAGTCTTAAAATTCATATGGAAAAATAAATAAAAGATCAAGAATAACCAAAGCAATTCTAAGCCAACAAAACAATGCTGGAAGCATCACCATACCTGACTTCAAATTATACTACAGAGTTACAGTAATAAAAACCGCATAGTACTGGCAGGAAATTAGACACATAAACCAAAGGAACAGAATAGAGGGCACAGAGACAATCCCACACATGTACAATCATCTGATCCTAAATAGAATGTGCCAAAAATATACATTGTAGAAAAGACAAATTGTGCTGGGGAAACTGGCTATCTGTGTGTAGAAGAATGAGAATAGATTTTCATCTCTTGCCCTGCACAGAAGTTAACTGAAAATAGTTAAGTGACGTAATTAGACCAGAAACCGCAACTCTTTGAAGAAAATTTAGGGTTAACGCTCCAACATATAGGTGTAAGCAGTAATTTTCTCAGTAGGACTCCTCAGGAAAGCTTGGGAAATAATGCCAAGAATTAATAAGTGGGATGGCATCAAATTAAAAACCTTCTGTACATCAAAGGAAACAATTAAGACTGGAGAGTGGCCTGGGGTTGTGACTCGGCGGTAGAGCACTCGCCTAGCACATTCGGGGCCCTGGGTTCAATTCTCAGCACCATGTAACAATAAATAAATAAAATAAAGGTATTGTGTTCAACTACAACTAAAAAATAAATATTAAAAAAAAAGAATGTGGAGAGAACCTATAGAAGGGGAGAAAGTCTTTGCCATCTACTTTTCTGACAGAGGATTAATGTTCAGAATATATAAAGAACTCAAAAATCTCAACACAAAAAAAAACCTCAATAAATGACCAAATGAATTAAACAGACATTTTTCAAAAGAAATACAGATGGCCACAAATATGAAAAAATGTTCAACATCATCAGCAGTTAGGGAAATGCAAATCAAAACTAAACTGAGATTTCATCTCTAGTTAGAATGGCAACCATTAAGAATACGGGACTGGGATTATGGCTCAGTGACAGAGGGCTTGCCTCGCAAGTATGAGACACTGGGTTTGGTTCTCAGCACCACATGAAAATGAATAAAATAAAGGTATTGTGTCCATCTGCAACTAAAAAAGTTTTTTTTTTTAAAAAAAGAATACAAACAATAACAATTGCTAGAGATAATGTGGAGAAAAATAAATACTTTTACACTGTTGGTGAGATTGTAAATTAGTACAGTCATTATGGAAATCAGTATGGAGGTTCCTCAACCACCACATGAACCAGCTATACCACTCTAAATTATGAGATTTGCATGTCTTATATGTGGGAGCTAGAGAGGGAAAAGGAAAAGAAAAGTGTGTGTGTGTGTCGGGGGTGTCTCATGAAAATCAAAGGGAGATTAGTAGAAAGACACCAGCGGGGAGAGAGGAGGGAAGAGAAATGATATTTGCCAAATTATAATGTAGTATCATGTGCATGTACAAATTTGTAACAAATATCACCTTGATGTATGATTATAATGCACTAATAGAAAATAGGGGGGGGGGGAAGAGAGAAGAGTGTTATAAGTAACTTGAACAGTGTGTTAGGGACCAGCATGACTCAAAAGGTCTCAGAATAAAACATCCAGGGGTCAAGTGTCACCCTTTCCTGAATACGTATAGTTTTTCTGAAGTTAGGCATTCTCCATGCTTTTGAATTTTGGATATTTGTCATCAATCTTCATAGTTATTAAAGATTCTACATGACCAAGAATGACAAACAAGTAGTATGTTATCTGAAAGTCATAACTGTAAGGATCTTCTGAACCAGTTTTAGGCCTTATTTTTTTTCTAAAGCCCTTCATTCTAAAATGAATGCTTACAACATACTGTCTTATAGATAAGTTGTGTGGAATATTGTGTTTGGAAAGGATTTGTTCTTTTATTCCTTTTAGTTGGAAACAACAGAGCAGAACATTGTGTAATTTTTTAAATTCTAGTACAAAAATTTTTGCTCCAAAGAAAAGAGGACTAGAAAGTTATATAAATATAACTAATTTGCAATGGGAAAAATATGTTGGGTGCTTCAATTGAAGGCATTGATGAGTATTTTGCTGTTTTGTTAGCTATTTAAGTATTAGATTTCCAAGTCATCATCTTTTTTTCCCTTGTGAAAAAGATTCTGCAGTTGTCTAGAATTTTGTTTCAAAATATTATTAACTTAAATTGCCCTCAACAAGGCATAATTCATGGTAGCGGTATCAAAATTTGGATTTTTAATTCAATTGAGATAGATGTTAGCCAGGTAACAGTGTGCATGAGCCCCATTTTGATGATCCTGTAGTTTGCATCCTAGAGAATTCATAGTGCTTACACCTCAGTGCTAAGATTGGTGTTAGTGTTCTGCAAAGTGCGCATACTGATTGAAAAACAATAGTAGCCTTTTTAAACATTTCCTCATTTGCAGAGGTAGGGGTTAATAATTACTTTTAATTAGTTATTATTTCAGAGGTAGGGGTAAATAATGACCCTTTTCCCACTGCTCATTCTGTGTTCCTTTTGCCTTCACATACACCTCAGTTCCCCTGGTCTTTCTGACCCAGCCCTTCATTCCTGAAGAATCTTGTCCATTAATAGTCCTGCTTGGCCTGGATTGTTTTAGTTTGCCACTGAGTTTAATCACAAGATGCTGTAACTCCAAGGGATCTAAGGGCTCCTAAGGGATCTTCTACACACCAAACATAGTCTTCCTTCCCTCTGTTATGTAGTAGTAGTCCGTGAGGTTTATATGTACATTAAAGGAGCCATAATAAGTACAAGAAAGTGTGGAATTATTGCTTGATATTTGCAAGTGCTTCATCAGTGTTCTTTTTTGCCTCCTATGATCTCTCTGCTAGTACTCAGCAAAAGTTCCTTTTTTAAAGCAAATATATTATAATAAGGAACTGCTAAGGAGAATGGGGGAGCTTTTAAAATATATTTCCATACTTTTAAAGTGGTAATTTTTGCTAAAGTAGGATTTCCCTTTTTAAGCAACTTTTAGATCTTGCTCAGTGGCCAGTGTTCCCACAACTGACCTCAAAGAACCTTATGATTGATGGAATGGCATTGAGCACTGGGTAGAGGAGGCCTAACCCCAGGGCTAAGACTTTCAAAAGGCATACACAGGCTCTTTTTAAAGATTACTCTGAAATGTGTTGCAATGCTTGCAAGTCCTTTTATGCACTAGGGATAGAACTGAAGTGCTGGAGGAATGTTCCAAAATATTTTGTTATACTTGGAAACATATATTCAGTTTTCAGATTTCTGGTTATTTTGTTATTAGATAAGCAGTATGAAAAAATGATACTTTTTTCCAATTTTCTCCATTCAAGGGTCGAGTGGTAGAAAATATCTCAAAGAGATGTGGTGGATTCCTGAGAAAGCTCAGCTTGCGAGGCTGCATTGGTGTTGGGGATTCCTCTTTGAAGTAAGTCAAATCCATCCATTCTGTCATGGCAGCTTGTAGCTGACATTTTTGTTAGCAAAAATAAACTAAGTATATTATATACTTTTCTTCTAAGTTCTTTCAGTGGTAATTTGTAGAGTATTGAGAGAACCATAACTCTGGAATAGCAGGTAAGCTCCATTATTGTTAAGGATGTGACCTGTGGGATAAAGTTCACCTGTTTGTCAATTCTCTATTCTGCATAGTGAGGTAGTTACAGGTCATGCATAGGAGTGTCGTGGGCATTACGTGAGATAACATGTGGAGTGCCTGGCACATAATAATGTTATTCATTCACCTCTCCTGTAGTCCCTTTTTCACTTTCTCATCTTCCTGGTTTCTTATCAAATTATACAAAATTGAGGAAAAAATTTGCTTAGCGGAATTTTGGCTACTTTTGATAGGATGTAATTATTACATTCATTTTATTATAGTTAGCAGTATACCTGTCCAACTAACTGCACACACACACACATACACCTGCACTGGATAGCATTGGAAATGTTAGCAACCACCACCACCACTACCCCTTTTTTGGGGGTGGTACTGAGGACAGAATCCAGGGGTGTTCCACCACTGAGCTATATCCATCCCAAGACTTTTTACTTTATTTTGAGAAAGGCTTTCCTTGTGATCTTCCTACCAGAGCCTCCCAAATTGCTGAGATTACAGATGTGCCACAGCATCTGACAACAAACCATTATTAAGAATATGTTCTTTGAGGTTTCTGAAGACAGACATGATCAGAACCTTCATGTCTTTATAATTGTGGTCTCTATTGTTGCTTTTTCCACCCCTTATCCTGGGGATTGACTCTAGGGATGCTTTACCATTGAGTTAGATCTCTAGACCTTTTTTTAAAAAATAATTTTTTTTTTTTAGTTGTAGGCAGACACAATGCCTTTATTTTTCTTCATTTATTTTTATGTGGTGCTGAGGATGGAACCTAGTGCCTCACCGGTGCTGGGTAGCACTCTGCCACTGAGCCACACCCCAGCCCTCTAGACCGTTTTATATTTTTATTTTGAGCAGGTCTTGCTTAGTTGTTGAGGATCTCACTAACTTGCCCAAGCTGACCTTAAATTTGTAGTCCTCCTGCTTCTGTCTCTCCAGTTATTGGGATTATAGGTGTGTGCCACCGCACCTGGCTTTCTTCAATTTTCTGCTTCATGATTCAGTCTTGGTAGGCTTTGGGTTTCTAGAAGTACATTCGTATCTTCTGGGTTACCCCAAATATCAGCATACAGCTTTTCATGGTATTCTCTTACAATGTTTTTTATTTCTATGGCATCAGTTATAATGCCACTCTTTCATTTCTGACATTATTTATTTTTCTTGGTTAATCTAGCTAAAGGTATGTCAGTTTTATTGATCTCTAAAAAAATCCAACTCTTGTTTTTTCCACAGTTTTTCTATTCCCTGTTTCACTTATCTTTGCTCTAATCTTTTATTTCCTGCCTTCACCCAGCTTTATATTTAGCTTGTTCTTCTAATTTCTTGAGGAATTATGGTATTATACACAGCTCTTGTGTTTGAATCAAGATCTAAAAATAAGTTCCCTTTACTGTGTGTGACATATTTCTTAAGTCTGTAGTGTGTAACATCGCTTATTATTATGTTGCCCTTCTTTGTTCAAGTTATCCGGGTTGAATGTCTTGGAATTTCCTACATTTTGGATTTGTGGTGGTTTTTGGCATGTACCCTCCCTCATGTTTTCTGTGGATAGGTGGAGCTAGAGCTCTGGAGAGGTTAGAGCGAGAGGCTGGATGGATTCAACTCTTTTGGTGGGAAGACATCATTTCCTGGGTGATGCTAAGACTGACCTGGACCGTGGAGTCATCAGCTCCATCTCTCCACTAGAAAGTTCCTCATCTTTCATCAGATGATGATTCAGCAGTCGTTGGTGATTGTTGCCTAGTCATAATTTCACCAAGGATCACAAAATGGCAGCTTTTCAATTCCATCATTTCTTCTTTATTTACTAATTATGGTTCTTCCACCAAGAATTCCCCTGACCAGTTGGTTACTCTGAAAAAGTATATAGCAAAAGCAAGGTAGATAGATGCTAGATTCTTTCACTTTACTTATGAGTTATTAGAATCATGAGCTGATACCCCAAAACCTTCCAGCATGACCAATAAGCTTTTGTTTTGGGTAGGTGAGAATTTTATTATGAATTTGGATATTTTTAGAAAATGATTTTTTTTTTAATAGTTATTTTATTTATTTATTTTTTAGTTTTCGGCGGACACAACATCTTTGTTGGTATGTGGTACTGAGGATCGAACCCGGGCCACACGCATGCCAGGCGAGCGTGCTACCGCTTGAGCCACATCCTCAGCCAGATATCTTTATTTTATTTTTATGTGGTGCTGAGAATCGAACCCAGTGCCTCACGCATGCTAGGCGAGCGTGCTACCACTTGAGCCACATCCCCAGCCCCAAGAAAATGATTTTATTTTTTATCAAAGTAAGGGGTCTTTTCATGCTCAAAATGTCCCTTTTTTTCCTTTTTTTAAAAATTTATTCTAATTAGTTATAACATGACCATAGAATGCATTTTGATATATCATATATAAATGAATATAACTTCTCAATCTTCTGATTATATGTGATGTGGAATCAAACTGGTCATGTAATCATGTATGTACATAGGGTAATAATGTCTGATTCATTCTACTATCCTTCTGACCTTTCTGTCTAATCCAGATTATCTCTATTTTTCCCTACATGCCCCCCTGCCTTGTTTTAAATTAGCATCTGCATATCAGAGAAAACATTCGTCCTTTGGTTTTTTGGAATTGGCTTATATCGCTTAGCATGATATTCTCCCATCTCCATCTATTTACCTGCAAATTCCATAATTTCATTCTTCTTTAAGGCTGAGTAATACTCTTTTGTGTATATATACCACATTTTCTTTATCTGTTCATCTGTTGAAGGGCATCTAGGTTGGTTCTTTAGTTTGGCTATTGTGAATTGAGCTGCTATAAACATTGATGTGGTTATGTCACTGTACTATGCTGATTTGAAGTCCTTTAGATATAAACCGAGGAGTAACGGGGGTAATGGCCAGTGTCTCATTGGGGGGTTCTTCTTGCCAAGGAGGGTGTAAGCCACCCTAAAACTTGAAGTCGTAAATAATTAGTGAAGAACAAAACACAAATAGTCAGAAATATATTTACATAAGCGAAGCCCCTGATAGATCTAGTCCACATGGGTGCTGGAACTAGACAAAGAAAAGATGGCTCCTGTGGTTTATTTAAGGGGGTTCATCAAAGGTAGGGATAAGGTTTCAAGGGCAGAGTCTTGCTTCTGATATCTTGCAGTCAGTAGGTTGATTGACATTTGGCAGGTCACACCCATCTCAGGTGCTGGGTGGGATCTTTGGCAGAGCTTGAGGGGGAAGTTCACCTGCATCAGGCAGTCAATCCTTGTGGGGGTGCCATGGGAGGTTCCCAATGCCAGACTTATTCCCTCATTAGGCTATGATGTGCAACACAGTCCACGCACAGCTCTACAAAGGAATGGAATAACTGGGTCAAATGGTGGTCCCATTCCATGTTTTCTGAGGAATCTCAGTATTGCTTTCCAAAATGGTTGCACCAAAATATCCCATCTTAGCCAGTTGGAGTCCCTTCAAACTGGCATCTGTTGTTTTGATGTGACCATAATTTTTTATATATTTTTTGGCTTATTTTGTACATATTCTACTACAGTGTTAGATTAACTTTATGAAGAAGTCATCCTGGTTCCTGTAAGGAGAAATATTTAGAGATCACAGTTTAGGTGCTAGATCACTACTAGGTTAGATTGCTTAAATTAGCTTGCCTCCTGGCTAGTATCATTTCTAAGCTCTTGCATTGGGTGCCGCAGTCCGGCTGTAGCAAAATAACCTGGGGTTGACGAGCAACTTGTATAGATTGATACAGCAGGAGTGGGAGCCGTTTATTGTAGGACCGGAGGGGTATATATACATTACACACAGCTTATCTTAATTAACATAAACTAGATACAGCAGTCAACCAATAAGGAATCTCCACACTTAATGGTTTGCTGGTGTTACTTCACAAACCACTCCCTCTGCAAAATGCCAGGCGCCATCTTGACTTGTTTATAGACTCTAACAATTGGGTATTGCTAGGAAATATACTTGTTTAGAAAGGGGGTGGGGAGCAAATGTTAAGTGCATCCTAGTATTTCCAATTCAAATGGGAGATTACAGGTTTTTAAAATAGACTTTAATTTTTACAGCAGTTCTATGTTCTCAGCAAAATGGACAGTTGTAGATATTTCCTATATAACTCCTGATTACAAGACTTTTTATGTAACTTAGTTTGATTTTTTTTTTCTTTTATACTGAAAAATTTGGTTCCTGATAACTAATGTAATATCCCTTTTTTTTTTTTTTTTGTACTGGGGATTGACCCAGGTGCTTTATCACTGAGACACATCACAGCCCTTTTTATCTTTTGAGACAGCATCTTACTAAGTTACTTAGGGCCTCACTAAGTTGCCGAGGCTGGCTTTGAACTTGTGATCCTTCTACCTCAGCCTTCCTAGCCACTGGGATTACAGGCCTATCCCACTGTGCCTGGCTGAGCACTTTTATGTTTACTGGTGATTTTTTTAATTCTTCTGAGAAGTATCTGTTTAAGCTCATTTGCCCATTTACTGATTGGATTACTTATTCTTTTGGTGTTAGATTTTTCTAGTTCTTTGTGTATTCTGGATATTAATGCTCTGTCAGATTAATTAGTTGGCAAAGATTTTCCTCCCACTGGGTTGTCTCTACACTCTATTGATTGTTTCCTTTGTTGTGTAGAGGCTTTTAAATTTGATGTAATCCCATTTATCAATTCTTGCTATTTCCTGAGCTATTAGAGTCATATTTGGGATAAATTTGTCTGTGCCAACAGCTTTAAACTTTCAGGTTTTCACTGAAGGGTTTTGATCTATTCTGAATTGAGTTTGGTACAGAA